GTCACCGGATCGCGGGCGGACTACTTGGTAACTAACTACCCGCACCTCGCACGCTTGCCGTGTGCTGACCGCCACTCATGGATAGGGTTGCAACGATATATCGGAATATCGATAATATCGAGACCAAAATATCGATATTTAAATCGATATTTAAAATTCACTGATATCGATAATATCGATATCGGAAATTTCAAAATATCGATATTTCGTAGACTAAATTTGAACACAATAATATCAATTAGTTTACCTGCTATGACTATCTAAATTGAATAATATCGAAATAACTATTGCTTATAGATGTATTAAAAAAATCTTGAACCCCAACAAATATACTAAACTGGTGTGGATTCTGGCATGATTCTCTAAATCTAAAATTAAATTTGACAACAGTGTATTCTTGTCATTCTCTATACAGAATTAAAAGGAGAGACTGATGTTAAATTTAGTTTTAAGTTTAGATATGCCAGAATCGACACCAACGTATATAGGTATAATCGTATACCTAATGGTAACTCATGCATTAAATAAAATCCTTGCCTCTCTTTCAAGATATTTGTCAACTACTGATTAATTGAAATTTAATATCATTGTAATATTACACAAAATAAAATTAAGAATCTCATACAAATCGTAATTTTTTTAAGCTTGCCAAGTCAAGAAAGTAAGATAGGTATAGTAATTTTGGAAGCTTTGGGCTTACCCTATTCTGAAGCCATGGGCACGCCCCTGATGTTTTAACATTTTAAACAAAATAAATATCTTTGATTCGAAGTTGCTTTTGATTTGATACTTCTTCATTCAACATCGTGTTGGAAATGTTGGAATGGCTGATATATCGGATCGGATATCGATATTTACCTGCCCACATTATAAATAATGATATTTTGGAAACCTTTGCTTCCTTAATTTTAGATTTTTGCTTTAAAAACTTAATACAAAGCAAAAAAAAAGAAAAAAATATCGATCTATCGATAATATCGAGTTAAAATGGTCGATATATCGGATATCGATATTTTCCTGACTTCGATATAAATATCGATATCAATATCGATATTTCAAAACACTTTGCATCCCTACTCATGGACCACCTGACGTTCACTGGTTGACAACGAGGCGACCATTCGTGGCCCACCCGGCGTTAGCTGATTGACAACACGGCGTCCATCTGAGTTTGTAAGTCGACCATGAGTGTATGTCGCGCGACGCGGCGGTGCGGGTGGCTCTAATGAGCTGTGACCTTAACGCTCAATTGGCGCATAAGTAGGTATTTATCTCAACAAAGAAGCCTAGTACTGCTTTAGCTTAAATATATTGTGGTAGTTGCCCACCATAAAGTACAAATCCCAAACTTACATTACAAGTAGAATTTCGGGGAACGTCTGAACATTAACGTTATAAGGACGCTCGTACGTCGTCAAATTAATAGCGTTATTAATTATTATGCATTTATGGCAGGTAATTTTATCACCCATATTTGGCACAAGATTAGCTTATTCTGATTTCGTTTCAGCAACAATAGTTATTTTTATTTAAATAATAAAAATATCTTGGCAGTAAGCTCTAATGGGCCTATCTCGCACTAGTGTTTGATTACTGATACATAAGTACATTATATTTTTTTAAGCATTTAAGAAAGAAAGAATATACCTTATACATAAATACAATAAATTAGGTCTAAACATTAGCGTCACTAAAAAGGCAGTCCACTTAGCATGTGTCGAATGTCCTAGACTGTCCGACGCTGGTCTTCCATGGTTACCTTGAAAAGTAGGGACGAGAGTACGAATAGCCACTTAGGTAGAAAATTTAATTAAATGAATGATTAAATGATTTATGCTTAAAATATTCGGTACTAGGAAGTTGTTGACTATAAAACCTTATATGTAACTGCAAACATATTATATGTAATTATTACACAAGAATGTAAATTAGCACGGCAATCAACGAACAACACAACAGTTTCCTCGAGTTGGAACTTCGCTTTTCTGTAATTCTAGCAGATATCTTTAAAAATTACTTTTAAAGGTTACGATACTACAACTGCTTTTCAAAGGAGGAGGTAAATTATTCCAACACCTCGTGGCAGAGTACCGTAAACTGCCACGAAATACCGCCGCGTTGTGCCCTGGACATAGGGATGTCGAAAGTTGAAAAAAATATCGATATATCGATACATCGATCTTTTAAAAAATATCAATATCGGCTTCGATATATCGCGAAAAAAACATGGATATATCGATATATCGGACCAATTTTCCCAAAAATATCGTACAGTAGCTCACGAAATATGACACGCGCAATAATAATGAAACGAAAATTATCTCCCTAAAAATAGACCCTATTTTCGAATGATGACATAGACAATACTAAATACTGTGCTGCATTTAGTATTGTCTATGTCATCATTCATAGATATGTTGAATAATCATTAATCTGAGATCCAGTTACGATTTTTCCAGATACGAATTTAGTTAGATCGTGATATGCCGCTAATAATTAAAAAAATATCGTTTTTGATACGAATTTCGATATTGGTTATTTTGTATCGATATATCGAATCAAAATATATCGGCAAAAAATATCGATATATCGAACAAAATATATCGATATATCGATACATCGATATATTTTCAACAAGCCTACCTGGACATACCAGACGGGATGCTATTCTTACACTACGATGGGAGAATGTAAGTTTATTGAATAAATAGGCAGGACAACGTGTTTTAACAATACCAAACAGAAGACTGGCAAAATGACAATAACGTCTAGATTTCATATTCAGTAAATCACTTTTATTTAAATATGGGGTTAAATGGGCTCTGCGTGGGAGACAAAAACAGAAACGAGCACAGGCATTCTGGACGCGCTAGATAAGCTTTTTGGTATAACCAAAGAGACACTTACCAATAACGACATCCGCGTAATTAAGTTTTGACAAAATTAATGTTTCACATAGCCTTACTCTGGTGTAAACTAGAGATAGTCGCGTATTTGGTACAACACCTTGAGTCTGTAGAAGCAACCCCTTACAGTCTGGACAACATGATTGTGAAATTTTAGTCGATTGTCAATGAGAATTCCTAAACTTCTAGCCTCAGTGACCTGCTCGATAACGATTTTATTTTTATAGCGGGAATGAAAGAATTAATTGTAGATACTTGTGTGTCCGATCACAACAAGATGAATTTTGATTTATGTGGATTCAGAACAAGACAATTCTTTGATGCCCATTCATTTATACGATTCAGGTCTTCATTAATTCGAGATATACAAGAGGATGTATCCTGAGGTACAAAAGATAAATAAACTTGTAGATCATCGGCATAAACATGATAATTACATTTTTTTATGCAAGTGATCAAGTCAGCACTGTATAAATTAAAAAAGATTGGACTTAACATAGACCCTTGTGGGACACCTCGGCGCAAAATTGTTGGTCTCGAAATTATTCGATTTCCAGTATAATTGGTTAATATAACACGCTTTGAGCGACCACTTAGATAACTAGAAATCGATTTTACAGCGTGATTGTCAAATCCATAAAAAGATAATTTCGACAAAAGAAGATCATGATTGAGAGATGCATTGCGTCAAAAGCGCGTGAAAATTTCACTCCATTTAACTGTTAGATGTTTAAATTGAAAGAAATTTTTACTAGAAAATATTCCATGCAGACCAAGTAGCAGACGGGACTCGAACCTTTCGCTATCCGGGCGAATGCACTGACTATTATGCTACCGCGGCCCCGACGGCCGTGTCGAATTTTCTTTAGCATTTCTTAGGCTACATAGATAGTTTAAGAGAATTGTTATAATTTTTATTGATTTGAAAACATCTATGTACAGATAATTGCATATGGCGTGCACAGCGTCATGCGTGCGTGACGTTTAATATTTAGATTGCAAAACAAGCAACATACATACTAAAATTAAAGTTGTATGTACTTTAACTATAATTGTAATTTTTGCGAAAATACATTTAATACTGTTTTATACTGGTTTTATATTGACAATGTGAAATCTTATATTTCTCTAATTTACTTACTTACCTGATAATTGGTATTAAAACTACTTATTGGTAAAAAACTTACTTGAACAATAAGGCACGTTATTTGGAAACATATTGTTTTTTAATCAAGGCACTTATCAGAATGAAAGATCGGAAAGATTTATTTGACAGTCCAATGACTGTAACCGAAAAATTTATGTCTATGGTTTAGATTACTTTTTCAGAAGCCATTTTGCCACCCATGGACCAAGTAGGCTATATTGGCCCCTTAAGCAGATCAGTCTCTCCTTTACATTCTGTATCTCCAACATTAGTATGAGATAGGTATCTAGGATAATACTGCCAAAATATTTTATATTTAGATTAAAACAACAATTGACAAGGATAAGTATATCCTTATCATCTCTATACGGAATGTAAGTGTGTGACCCCCCCCCCCCCCCCCTCCTAACACACACACACTGTAAGTAAATGTCAAAAAACTTTACGAATAGGCCCAGCAGGTTCCGTTTATTAGTTATGATCTAAAAAATAAATAAAACATTCCAGTAAAAGGTAAGAATAATCTTGTACCATTTTTTAGCAAAAATTGATAATATAACCTAAAAAATAAATATGTCCAATAGGCCTATCTCTGACTGGAGTTGGATTTATTGACTGTTAGTAGATTTATTACTATTGTAAAACCTACATACCAAGCATTTTAAAAGTACATAAGTAATTGTTTTCAGAACTTCACTAACATAGATTGATTTTTGTAGCTAATCAACTTTATTTAGATTTGCTGTTCCGTTTGCTTCTCATTAATTAACAGTGGTGGGACAATGTTTAAAAATCGCAGAAACAGACTTATGAAACGCGACGCCACTCGACGCGTATTTTCTATGGTCCATCGCGTCATGTCGGATGATCCTAATCATAGAACAAAGGTACATTTTGATTTGACTCAACACGCATGGTTTCTAATAAATTTACGTAAAGGTACTTACCGGTAGCTATCCCCATGTCGGTGACCTTTAACTGGCCCTGTTTGATCATGGCTTCATAGTTTGGTTTGATGGACGTGAGCTCCATGTTAAACAATCCAAACATTGGGCCAACAGATGGGTCCTCTTCATATGTGAACAACACTTGAATGTCTTTGATCAAAGCCCTTTGCACAGTTGCATACCATGATTGTGTTACTCTGAAAAATGCTAACAAACATTTAAAAAGTCCACATTTCTTAGAAGACACAGATATATATACATTCAGTTGAGTTTGCAGTTTATAAAAATATGTTCTACTTAGAGATTATATTTTATAAATCTCGTTTTTGCTGACATCCATGTATTAAGAACAATCATATAAAGTAACTTTTACTAGAAAGAATTCCAAGCAGACCAGGCAGCATATAGAAGGCAAACCAGCATTCTCCGCTATCCAGGCAGATGCACTATATTACCGCGGCCCTAACAGCTGTGTCGAATTCTTTCTAGTATTCCCTGGGCTCAGGCTGAGACAGCACCATCTTTTCGCATTGTAGGTAACCCACAATGTCAAATGAATACCTTTACAAGTATTATACATTTGAAGGAGGGTGTGGGTTCAAGTCCCATCTGCTGCCTGGTCTTTGTGGAAAGTTTTCTAGTAAAATTTTCTTTAGAATCAGACATCTAGCAGTTAAATGCCAAAAAAAAATATGACAACTGTATTTTAGCTAATAAAAGTCATATTTTTAAGGCTAAACATTAAAAAAATGTATATATATCAGAATTTTTTGATAATAGAACCTTATTTTCCATACCTTCTAGGCATTGTTGTCATAGCCTCCCAGTATTGATCTATATAAGGTATGATCTCCCGGTCTTTGCTGAACAAAAGTTTATTACTTCCATCCTTGACACTCTCTTGTCTGAGATTTGCTATTGCTGTCAGACACATCTGAGGAAATGCTGAAAATTGGGTTAATGATTAATAACCAATTTAAATAAGCAAATCATGAATTGGTAAACAAATTAAGACCCCACATTGAGACACATATTTTATTGATTACTTGTTACTACAAATAATACAAATCATCTATCACATTATCTATTTTGATTTCAATTTTATTCATGAAGTGGTTTTTAAGTACCAGTTTTAGTTCTTTAATCTGCTTTTAATTATAATAAAATAAATATCACAATTTTTTGTTTATTATTGTCAGAATCTTTGGAGTTTTGGTACTTACGAGCTTGATTTTTCTTGAAAGTTTCCAAACCAGTGGGTGAACAGTTTTTACAAATGAAGAGATAGTTTGTCATAAATGGAACCAGCTTTCCTAGTTGATATCCAATACATGATTCATGAAACCACCGGTTGCAAGAAGCACAAAGCAGTTCAGCAATATTTAAATTTCGGTCTTTCCCGCTGAAATAATAAAAGGAATAAGAAACAATGACACAATTTTTTTTCACATCAATAACAGTTACAATACATACCAGTAACAAGTACTCTGAGATTCAGTGATCATTTTGTTGGATCTACTTTTATCGAAATCCATTGGCTTTTGAGATTCAGACTGCATGATTTTTGGTGCTATTGGTTGCAATAATTGTCTCGAAAAAGTTCTGTGCACAAATACTGTTTAGGAAATGGATCGGTACCGATTCAAATGTAGTCGCTCAGTAAACTTTGTATGCATTTTCACGCTGTATTACACATAAATCAACATTTTAACAGTAGCTGTAAGGTTCCATACCAGCTCAAAGACGACAAGCGGCGAGTGGTCAATTCGCGCTCCACAAACTTATGTATAGCAATCAACCTGGTTACATCTCTCCTAGCGACTGGGACACACAGTTAGCAGTTGATGCCTACCCGTAAGTACGCGGTTATTTATCGAGGCACAAAACAACAGTACTCGGTACACCTTGCGGAGAAACAAGAGTGGACGTACCGCAAGTGCTGATCCGTTTCCGATTAAATAAATGTGCACAGACCTTTAACACTTCATGAGATTCGTTTGTAAACACATTTAAGAATACATAACTGTAGTTATCTAGCGAAAATAGAGATCATTGATTGTAAAACATTTTTAATTTAACAAATATAGCCTATTTTTGTCCATTGGGACAGGCGAAGAAATAAAAACATTTTTGTTTCATAATTTAATTTTTTTGTGTTCTAAGGAAAGCCAAAGGAAACAAAACCCAAACGGCTTTACGTAGTCAAATTAAAGTTTAGCTTTAGAGAATCATCCCAGAATTGACACCAATGGTGCCAATTCTGACATGATTCTCTAAACTTAAAACTAAATTTAACATCAGTCATGGATGTTTTAATATGTATTTCTATAAAAATACACTTAAATATGTACAGTATATGTATTGTATCCGTTACCCTAGTATCCCATAACACAAGCCTTATAGTGCTTACTTTGGGGCTAGGCTAATTGGTGTGAGTGTTGGAAATATTTATTATTATTTGCTGTATGAACGTACTATCCTTTGCCTTCCTTTAAAGAGAGACTATTACAAAAACGCAAATATTGGTAACGAACGATACTCTGTGGGTCTTCTTTTTTTGAATTTTCAAACAAACAGTTTCTTTCTTAGTGCAACTGCATACAGTCACAATTTTGCAAAAATTGAATTTATTTCATTGCACCATCACAAATAATAATTTCGAAGTATCTGTTATTGTCGAAATGCCGCCCATTTAATATGTAGGGATTTTGTTTTACATTCAGTGACAGATAAACAGTCTATCTTGAAGTAGACAGTAGAAATTGCTTTGGAAAATCGTAAGTTTGGAAAAACTTTTTTCTCTTGTCTATTTGTTCTCTACTCAACGCGTGCTGGCCTTTTGTAAACATGGAGGTAGGTCAGGTCTAAATTTAAAACTAACTTTATGAAGAAGTGCTATTGATTATCAGAGGCCTGGGGGCGCGCCCTAAGGTAGTTATTTTTATGCTTCAGGCCTCAGATTACAAAGCATATGTCTCACTCCAGCCGATAGATCATTGCGTGACCTTTGTCTTTTGAAGAAATTATAATAATTGCTCCATTGTGTGTGGGGTTTGTTGTTCTCGCTTCATTTTGAATTCTCACTGTGTAAATTTAACAGTAATTGAAGAAAATATAAGGACCAATGACAATAAAAATAAACATTTGCCTCAACATTTTTTTTTAAATTCCTGATTAAATGCTTTATCACCCTGCTAAACTTCTTGAGCAACGACCATAGATCCACTTTCACTTTAGATATTATTTCTCCATGGTTATGCACGATGATTCTGCCAATATCAGGGTTAAGAAAGGCGCTGTTATATCGGTACTCTTCTTTGTACGGTGTGTTAGTCCGGTATCTATGTGGAGGACTATAGATATAGCAGCAATTTTCGTCTACTGTGCAAGTTTATTTCCAATTTCAATATTAATTTGTCTGGAGTTTTGCTCAAGCAGTTAGCAGCTAATTTCACCAAATAATTATTTACTTTAATTTTTTTACAGTGAAATGGATTCCGTCACAAGTACAAATGAAATGCTCAATGAAGAGAAAACGGCTCAAGAAAACTTACTCCTTGTTATCATCAAAGATTTATGCAGCGAGCCTGATAGCAAACTATCGACCAAACTCAAAGGCAAAGTAAACAGGATCATCACGGACTGCGACCTGGCTTATCATACCAGTTTACATAAGCTGAGTACAGCAGACGAGAGTTCATCAACTGTATTAGGTATTATTACTGTAACTAATGAGGAGCTCGATGGCGCAAGTGTATAGTGCGTTCGGCTGCAATTGTTGAAGTTAAGCAACTTTCGCAGTGGTCAGTCATTGGATGGGTGACCAGAAATCTATCGCGAGTTCCTCCGTGCTTCGGAAGGCACGTGAAGTCGTTAGTCCTGGCTGCATCTGCAGTCGTTAGCACCCACCAATCTGCACTGGGTTCGAGTGGTGGGTCATGGCCCAATCTCCCTATTCCATCCATAGGGAAGGCCTGTGCCCCAGCAGTGGGGGCATCAATAGGCTGATGATGATGATGACTGTAACTAATACCACAGTTATTGGCGGCAAATTTCTTCAGCAAAACCACGGACAAAAAAACTTGCAGCTTACTGTGCTGGCTTCCTTGTCTATGGTCGTTACTCAAGAAGTTTTTCAGGAAGTATACCTTTGGAAATTGTTATGAATTTATGTAGAAAATCTGGAATATATGCAGCAGAACACTGAATAAAAATACTAAAAAATACCTTTAATTCATCTTTTATATAAATTGAAGTACAGTCACAGTAGTTTATCATATAAATTAAAGCAATATTGACTGTTATTTGATTTATATATCAGTTTTTATTGTTACCACAAAACTATCTTCTCATTTCAGGTTTCATGAACCACACAGCATCAGAGTTAAGTTTCGACGAACAAACTGAGCTGAACCAAGCGTTAATAAATAAGATCCAAACTAAATTACCCCAGTTTGTTAGCGAGTTAGAAAACCTCAAGCAAAAAACGAATAGTGACCACAACAAAACTACAGGAGATAAAATAAAAGAACTACAGCAAAGTTTGGACGAGAAGATAAATAAATTACATGAACAAGAGAATGAGAAGGTGGAGCTAATGATGGAGTGGCTGAACCACCGCCTCTACGAAGTGTCCAGATTCAGTGATGACTCTAGTGAACTGCTAGCATTAAAAACAAGAATCCTGGATTTGAAATCTAAGTGAGTTGATCACAATACAAAATACAAAAGCCTTTATTGCTGATAATTACATAAAAAACACATCATTAACCTTTACTTATAATTCAGCATGTCCTGCAGACACATAGGCTTCCTCCAGCCTTTTTCACCCCGATCTATCCCTTGCTAACCTACCAGCCATAGCGGGCCAGCTACCCTTCTTATGTCATCTGACCATCTTTTCATTCCTGTCCTGTCTGGTTATACTATTTCAGCTGAGAAATTGTCTAACATATCAAAAAAAACTTGTATGCTTTCATACTTGTATGCTTGTAACAGCCTGAACTGAATAAACAATATTGAATTTGAATTGAATACAATATCTTAGGACCAACCAATAAGTAAATATTGCGCCAATAGGTATTCTACAGCACCTTTAATATCCTGCCAACCCCAATCTATGAAGAATTGTAGATAAATAATGGAAAACATGAACTTTACCTTGACTAACTAGCAGTTACAAGTTTGTTTCTTAGGTTTTCACGCACATCACTCATTAAATTAAAACTAGTTTTAACAGGTTAATTCACGAAACTTTAAAGCTAATATGGCTAGCACTATGGCTCGACAAATTAAATAAAAAATCATTCTGATGAAGCAGACCTGAAAAGGCTGCAAAATGTCAATAAATAAATAAAGTTTCATGCATTAACCCGTTAAAACTAGTTTTATTTAGCAGTTACAAGCTTTATTTTCTCAATAAAAGTTTTGCCTTCTCTGAGGAATTCTCTATCCCCACACCAAAATTCATCAAAATCGGTTCAGTATTTTGGGAGAAAATCATTTTAAACGGCAAAAATTACTTTGGAATTTATAATATTAATAACGATACAGTGGAAGGAAAGATGACCTGTCTGATTCAGTGTTGGTTTATTTTTTCAGAATTCTGCATCTGCAAATACTTCATAACATTTTCACGGAGACCAACAATTCCATTAAGGCATACAGTGAGATCCACAAGGACCTCAAGGACAGCATCAAAGAGACTGAACAAAGAATTAAAGACTTTAAAGCCATTGTAGAAAGCGACTTTTGAATAACTCTTAATTTGTATTTCAATTAGCTAGCTATGATAATTATTTTATGAAAATGTTTTTACAAAGAAATAAATTATTTTGTTTAAGTAAATAAGAATTTTTAATTACTTACATAGTCATTGGTGTCAATTCTAGCATGATTCTCTAAACCTAAACTTAAATTTGACAGCAGTATATCCTTGTCATTCTCTATACAGAATGAAAAGGAGAGACTGATTTTAAATTTAATTTTAAATTTAGAGAATCACGCCAGAATTGGCACCTTTATATCTGTAAACTAAAATAGAAATTTGAATGTAACTCCTCTCTTCTATCACTCATTTAGTAGCCCGACAGGGTCCATATCTGATCGTATTTTATCATAACTTATATATTTAACATGTTTTTGTACATTGTGGATATGAAATAAACGAATTGAATTGAATTTAAGAAGAGAACACTTTAAAAAAATATTCAATCAATCAATCAAAATCATTTATTCAGTTTAGGCTGTTGAATGTCTAGAAGCTACGCCATCGGTTCGTAAATCTACGGCGGGAGACCTTGTACTGAGAAGAACCGGCAAGAAACTCAGCTAGGGCTGTTTTTTTCTCCCTGTTTTATTATTTACAAAGTCGTCAAATTGAAAAATGACTTCGGAGGTGATTCATGAAATCACTTTTCATTACATAATTAGTATTAAATATACATTAATTGTTTACCTGCATTTTGATTGCTGTGTCATACAGTATAAATACAAATAGTGTTATTTATATTCAGTGTGACGAATTATATATTAGAATGTCCTTGATATTTGTGTGTAATATAGTGTTGAAGGAATTGACAAATATTTCATATAAACAATAACCTGACTCGTAGCAGTAGTTTGGTTGTTAGTCCGGTCGACCGAATTGATGAGACACACAAAGCTTGTCCTATGATCTTTCTTATTTTGAGGGGTTCCGTACCTCAAAAGGAAGAAACGGAACCCTTATAAGATCACTTTGTTGTCTGTCCGTCGGTCCGTCAAGATCGTTTTTCTCAGGAACGCGTGGAGGTATCAAACTGAAATTCATATCTAATACTCAGGTCTACTGTCCCTTGGAGCTGTGAAAAAATCAAACTTCTAAGAAAAGCAATCAAAAGATACAGCCGTTTATGCCGCCCGCAAATTTTCGAAACTCGCACGGGAATCAAAACCTACAGGGTACTTCCCGTGAACTTAGAATCTTGAAATTTGGTATGAAGTAATGTGTTATAGTACACGTACACACAGATAAAGGAAAATTTGCGAAAACCGTAAATTTTTAGTTACATCATATAATAAAATATATTTTTGAAAATTTTAAAGTTACTACCTCACAGTTTT